ATAATAATAATTTTTAAAAGGTGGAGGCAAGAGCATAATGATTTCAAAACCAGTCTTGTTAGGTTAGTAAGACCTTGTCTCAAAATAAAAGTAGAAGGGGGTCAGGAGGGGATATAGCTCAATGGTAGAGTACTTGCCTAGCATGTATGTGTGGGAGCCTAGATTCAATTCCCAGTACTATTAAAAGAAAAAAACAAAGAACAAAACAAAACAAAACAAAAAAACAGTTATACCCAGTAGGTACATTACTTCAGCCAAAGCAATAGAAAGACTTGGATCATGAAAGAGAAAGTTAGTAATTACCGGTATTTATCCTGCTTCTGCAGGATGCAAACCAGGAACAATGCAATCATAAGTGAAGAATGTCAGACAAAATTCTTGTCATTGTTTCAGTAAGAATCCAGCTGAGTAAACCAAATTTCAAGTTCTTTACTCTGTGTGTCCCACACTATGGGAAAAGTCCTGCTCTGATGTGGGCATTTTGTATTTGCATCTCTTTATTGCAATTTAAATACATGACTATGTCAAGTATCTAGAATTAAGAGGGTTTATATAAGCAAAACATATTTCTACTTTCAGTTGAAATAGTCTATAACAGGAGTCAGATCACAAAAGAAATTCAGGACAAGATCTAGAAAATACTCAGGCTTTACCTGGCAAATTTCCTGAACTGAAGCAACAAAGCTGTGAGTCTAGGGAGAAAAAGGTAGCAGGAATTCACAGAATGGAGGATCTGAGACCCCTAGACTTCTGCAGAATCTCTTGAGCTGAGTGCTGATCACTGCATCTATGTGATGAAAACTACCCACCATTGAGTCAAGGACCACATGAAAGAATTAAAAAGGACAACTTGAATTCATATTGTGCTAGAAATTCTGCCTATGTCCGCTAGCCCAACTGGAAAACACTGTGAGTTGTGGGGCATTAGGCAGCTTGCTCAGAGGGATTTGCTTTCATGGTGGGAACAATTAGCAACTCCCTTTCCACTAAACAAAGCTCTGGCCCACCAGAAAATACCAAAGACAGACCTGAGAGAAGCAGACTGTGTCCTAGAACAAAGCTTAAGGGTATTGAATATGTATGGGAACCCAAAGTACCCAGCATCCAAACAAGTAAAATCCATAACACCTGGCGTCCAATCAAAGTATGCCAGGCATACAAAGAATGAGAAAACCATTAAGGAGGAGAAAAAAAAGATGCATGAATGGAAAACTAAGCAGAACTTACTAAAACAGACAAGGCAATTGATAAGTTTTATCCTGGCATTTTATATGTTCAAAATGTAAAATAGGGCCAAGGAATTTACTGATGTAAACTTCAGGAGATGAAATATATTGCATTGGATTAATGGAAGACAAGGCATTGCAAAATAAAAGATTGGTGAACCCATAATTCTGGAAGTTATAGTAACAGAAACCTGAAATGAAAATTAATCTTAAAAGTTGAATTGTTATAAAAAATCAGTTTTGGTGGTCCTATATGTAACTGCAGTTCTCCAAAATTAAAAAGGAAAGGGCTAGAAGAAACTAAGGCTAATCATCATTCCCAGGTCTCATATAAAGTATAGACCCACAAATCAGTAAGGCCAATAAATATAATGAGAAACAGAAAGAAAATTACACCAAGATACATCATAAACAAGCTGCTTAAATTGGAATAGGATTTTTAAAAAAAAATCTCTTAAAATCACCCATCCTGAAGGAGAGAAGAGAGTTGCATAGCTTATAGAGGAACAAAGGATAAAAATAACATCAGTGTTCATTTGAAAAAGAATGCAAGTAAGAAGGCCATGGAAACATATATTTAACATTCGGGAAAGAAAAAAAAATTGCTTAGTGAAAATAACTCTTAGGAAAGAAAAGAAAATGAAGCCCCTTTCAGACATACGAACACTGAGAGAGACTTCTACTACAAGAAATCTTACAGAAGGTTCCTGTGTAGAAGAAAGATGACACCAAATACATTAACAACAATAGAAAAAAAAAACAGCGGAAATATTCCTTGGAAGATAATTTCACATGCATCATCCAATATAGTTCTCACATTATTGCGGTGAAATGATAACTGAGACTTGAACCAAAATGAGTCATAAGCCACTTCTCTTACTCAGAAAGCCCTCCTATGTGAGCAAGGAACATAAGAATAGATAAAAATCAAGAAAATACAGAAAATCATTTAAACTTTAGGGAAACTGGTGAGCCAGTTTGACTTTGAAAATATTGGTAAAACCTTTTAAAGATTTAAAGATTTTAAAGATTTGTGGGTAGCAGCCAAGCTTTTAAATCTCAAGTATGAACTTGATGGTATCTGGAAACACTTTGGAGATAAGCCTCTGTGCCAGCATGCCTTCGAAGGATTATGTTTATTAGGTTTATTGAGATGGGAGGATTCAGCTGTTCTGGGTAGCCTCCATCCTTGGGCTGGGATCCTGGCCTGTATAAAAATGAGAAACAAAAATGAGCTGGGAACAAGCACGCATTTCCTGTTCCTTGGCTGAGTATGCAATGTTATCAGGTGACTAAGGTTTCTTCTACTGCTACTTCACTGCCATGATGGATGGGAACCTCAGACTGTGAGCCAAAAGAAAGCCCCTTCTCCCTTACATTGTTTTTGCCAGGGTGCAACGGTTTCTGGGATAAACCTGACCCTGTGGTTTCTGTGCCTTTGGAGCTGGTGGGAGGAATGTGAAAGTGTTTGAAACTTTGGCTTTTAATGGGCTATTCAGGGGGCAGCTTGGAAAAGAAGGGACTGAGGCAGATATGGACTTGGCCCATGAGGTTACAGAGGGAATCAAGAATTATCTAATCACTATCTGGGCCATTCATGGTGTTGTTCTACCCATATCCTGAGAAACTGTATGAAAAAGAATTTAAAGATATGGACTATTTGTGGGGGAAGGGGGTGTGGGGAGGCAGAGGAAAATTCAAGATTAGAGATCATTTAAGTTAGTGCAGAGATAGGAAATATAATCATTAAATAAATCACAGTAATGAAGAGAAAAGTGCTGTGCCATCCTGGGCCAATAGCAAAGGTATCCTGACGGCAAAACTCCACCCATTCGCAGCTACATCATTTGAAGGATGAAAGCCTAAACTGAAGGGTTCTCTGTTCCTTGAAGAAAACTGTACAGGGAAGTGTTTGCCAGTGTCAGCACACAGAAGCTGACGAAGCTGTTGTCCAAGAGGGTCAGGCTATCTCCCAATCAGCAGAGATTGGCAACGCATCTGCATGGTAATGGTTTTGTAGGCAGGAGAGATGTAAAAGTGAAGAGATCATGGAATAATATTCTATGATTTCAGAGAGCACCTGAGGCCAGATAATGTGTGGCAAGGTCATAGTTCTGCTCAGAAGGCCCCGAGAGGCCATTGTGTAAAGTTATGTAACAAATCGTATGTTACAACAGAGATCCCAGGGTATTGGATATGCCAGGCCAATATGGAGATGTCCTCCAAAGCCTTGGGCATTCGAGTACTTGATCTCTAGTGGAAGCATTGTTTGGGTAGCTGAGGAGGTATGGCCTTGTCGATGTATGTACGTGACTGGAAGTGGGCTTTGAGAGTTTAAAGACTTATGTCATTTCTGCCTCACTATGCTTCATGCTTGTAGTTCAAGATGTGAGCTTTCAGCATCTTGCTCCTGCCTTGTTGCCTTCACTCTATAACCATGGACTCTAATCCTCAGAAACTGTTAGCTCAAATAAGCTTTTTCTTCTATCCACTGACTCGGACATGACATTTTACCAGAGCAATAGAAAAATTATTAATCCACATGCTCATCAAGCAAAGCTGCAGGTATGCGGTGAAGCTGGCCTCAGAAAGCAGCAACCTATAGTCATCTTAATAATGACTATGAAACTTGAAAAGACTCTATTATTTATTTTTCATTAAAAAAAAGCCTCTTGCTGGGGAGGAAGGATTATAGGAGCCAGAGGGAATCAAGGACAGCAGGAGAACAGGCCTGCAGTATCAACTAAGCAGGGTTCATAGAGACCCACAGACACAATCATGGAAACCTACATGGGTCTGCTCTAGGTCCACTGCATATATGTTATGTTTGTGTAGCTTGGTGTTCTTGTGAGATTCTTAACAGTGTTGTCTCTAACTCTTTTGCCTGTTCTTGCAGCCCTTTTCCTCCTGCTTCATCCAACCTTGATAGGAGGATTTGTGCCTAATTTCATTGTAAACTATTATGCCTGCTTCAGTTGATATATCTGGGAGGCCTACTCTTTTTTTCTAAATGGAAACAGAGGAGGGATAGATCTGGGGGAGAAGGGAGGTGGGAGGAGTAAAGGCAGGAGAAACTGTTTTTTTGGGGTATATTGTATGAGAGAAGAATGAAACAAAACAAAACAGAAAATAAATGAACACCATCTTAAAAAAAATCTAAGAATACAAGAAAAATTCCTCAACCCAAATAGTTTAGTCACAGTGAAATAAAAGTTCCTTATGCACATGGAAACAGTACAAATGTTCTTCAGCAGGTGAATAGACAGATGCATTGCAATAATCCCCAGTAGTCAGCCTGCAAGACTGGTTCCAGTTCAGTTGTGACGATGCCTCTGTCCTTACATAACGTGGTATGATGTTTGCACATAACCTATGCATATCTTAGCACTCACTCAAACCATCTCTAGATTACTTATAATGTCTAACACAACATAAATGCTTTGTACGTAGTTTTAACATTTTATTGCACAGGGAATAATGACAAGAAAAATCTCTCATATCCAGTAAAGACAACTATTCTTTCAAAAACATTTTTGTCAGCTGGTTAACTCTGATGGAACAAGTGGATAGAAAGAACCAACAGTACAGTTATATAATAGTCTTGTATTCAACGAAGAACAGAAATAAACTCTTCAAACACACCAAACATTTGATGGGCTTCACAATGGCTGAAAGAAGATAAACAATAATGGAAACAATCCAGGTATTCTGAATCCATGTAGTGAATGTATACTAATTTGACTCCACTTTTTTTTATATTTGAAAACGAAAACTCTGCTCACTCTAGCAGCATGTACACTAAAATTGGAACAATACAGAGAAGGTTAGCATGATCCCTGCACAAGGAGGACATGCAGGTTAATGAATTGTTCTATAGTTTAAAAAAATGGCACACTGCTGTATATTAACAGTAACCACATTGGTGGTTGTCCTTTATATATGTGATGTTTATCTCTTGTTTACTTTTCTGCTTGTGGGTTTTACTCATGATGATCACCCCCTTGTCATTTCTAGAAATGGTAGAAGCCTGGCTTATAGTCATGCTCTATCTTTTCTCTCTCTCTTTGTGATTTGTGTATTGTTGACAATGACAAGCCAACTTCTGCATTATAAGCTTCTAGATTTTTAGGGACTTTTCATGTTTGAGTATTTGTATTATATAGGATGTACTCAATATGTGCACTCATTGTTAAATCATTGATACTATTTAGAATTAGATGGACATTAAGAACTTTATGTGTATTACTTAGGGGAATGAAAGACCAAAGGAAAGCAAATGGAAATAAGATCGGTTTCAGAGTCTTAAATGTATACATGGAAATAAATATAATTTTCAAAATTAAAATGAAAATATTAAACAATGATTATTAAATCTGGCTGTTAAAATTATATTGATAAATAAAGCTACTATGAACGTAGTTGAGCAAATGTCCTTGTATGGTGGAGCATCTTTTGGGTATATGTGCAAGAATGGTATAGCTGGGTTTTGAGGCATCACTATTGCCAGTTTCCTGAGAAAGCACCAGATTGATTTCCAAAGTGGTTGTACAAGTTTGCACTCCCACCAGCAATGGAGGAGGGTTCCCCTTTCTTGAGTTTTTTTTTTTATTGCAGCCATTCTGATGAGTATAAGATAGAATCATAGAGTCGTTTTGATTTGCTTTTCCATGATGACAAAGGGTATTGAGTATTTCTTTAAGTGTTTCTTCACCATTCGATATTTCTCTGTTGAGAATTCTATGTCTTGCTCTGTGCCCCATTTTTAATTAGATTATTTGATATGTTCATGTTTACATCAACCAAGGACCTTGCATGGAGAGGACCTAGACCCCCTGCTCAGATGTAGCCCATGGCAGCTCAGTCTCCAAGTAGGCTCCCTAGTAAGGGAGCCAGGACATGAACTCCTTGCTCTTTGATCATGTCCCCCTGGGTTGGGGGTGACCCTACCAGGCCACAGAGGAAGAGAATCCAGGCAGTCCTGTTGAGACTTGATGGGCTAGGGTCAGATAGTAGGGGAGGAGGACTCCCCATTTTCAGTAGATTAGGGAATGGAGATGGGGGGGAAATGAGAGGGAGGGTGAGAATGGGAGGAGATGAGGAAGGGGTCTACAACCAGGATACAAAATTAATAAAGTATAAAAAGTAATAAAATAAAAATTTTTAAAGTATATATATATATATATATATATATATATATATATATGTGAGACCTTTAAAACCACCTACTAGTATCTGAGCTCTAGACTCTATTAGAAGACACCAAATCTTTAGAAATTGGGGTCTTTGATGGAACTTAAAATAATTTTCTCTGTTTGATTCAAATTGCTCTCTGTTTTAATAACTGCATGCAGTTGCAAAGTTATGAGTATTGGAACAGAAAGACTTCCCCATCATTTTCAAGTTGAACAGACCCGAATAAGGTATCAAAAGTAGTACTTGACTGAACTGATTAGGGCTACACAGTGGCTGAGGTACCGAGCTATATTTCAGCATTGCATCAAATATTCTAACGTGCAGCCCAAATTATAAACTTGTGTTCTAATATAAACTATCTCATCTAAAACACAGCAGCAGTACTGCAGTGTGTGTGTGTGTGTGTGTGTAAAGCTCTCATTCATATAGCTCCTTCTTTTAAGGTGAGCATTTCATAAAAGCCGTAATCATTGTTTTCATGTTTTCTGAAACTCTTCAACTCTGGAAAAAATTAGATCTGTAAAAGAGAACTTTAAAACCAAAGTTTTGCCTAACTGGAAACAAGTCAGAACCCCTTTATATTTTAAGAAGTTCAGACTCATGAAGGACTGTCTAATGGGATATCATCTTTAAATGAATTGGGCTAAGGGAAGGGAGGCGTTGTCTCATAATTAATCTTATTCCCTTTGAAGAAGAACTTTATCTTATAAGAAAAGCCCCGGACTGTGATATTATGGACAAAGCTGAGGGATCTCAAATGGAATTGTGTTGCCTCACTTTTGTTCAGGAGCTTATTAAAATGGGCTAGTCGATGGAGAAAATACTAATTTTTTTTAGAAAAGGTAAGCCTTCCTGCTGGTAAATAATTTTCGTTGGTCTGTTAAGTGTGATCTTTTTTTAAATTGCAAAACAAGGGCCACTAAAGCAAAGATGACAATCAGTTTCAGAAGCACCTGGTTTAAGAATGTAAATAAAAGCCAGTGCCAAGTCTCCGTGGGAGACTGACTCCTGTTGGCTGAGGTGAGACACTAATTTATATAAACAGACATATATTCTTAGTCATAGGCTTTTATCATGTATGAGCCTGACCTTCACTGCTGCTTAATTAATAAGCTCCCATGCTTCCAGTCCCATCCACCTATCAGGGCAAGGCTGCTCCATCACCTGAGAGCACACATAAGCTTATGGTCTGATCAAGCAAATTTTCCACTTTGCCGTGCGATCACAGCCAGCCTCCAACTCTTTCATCAGACTGTGCTGCATCCTCGGATGCTCTAGTCCAGCTTAACGCTTCTACATCTTTATGAATATCTGCCTTTTGTACCTGGAAGGTCATCTAGGATCTCTTGAGACCTTAGTCTTCTCTGCCACCATGTCACATTTACGTTGCTTTGATGAACACCTTGACCAAAAGGAACTTAGCATTATCACATCAGCTTCGGAATCTTGTGGGATGTAAGCACTCAGTTCACAGCAGGCATGGTATTTTTGCACACAAGTTACTAATAAGAAAATTAAGGCTGAATGATGTATTAAATTATTTGGACCAAGGCACACAGCTAGTAAGTAGTAGAACTGACACACACACACACACACACACACACACACACACACACACACACACAGCCCAGACTTTCCCCAGAGTACAGTGTATACTGAAAGCACTCCCTAACAGAGCCCCATGACTAGTTCTTTTGGATGCCATTTGTATTATACTGCTCTGATAAAGTCAGTCCACTTGTAGTCATTGAAATCGGTGTAGTTGGGATAGTCTCTTCTATTTTAGCTCTCTGGTTTTCTGAACACATTAGTCAGAATTTCCAAAATATTTTTAGGGATTGAGCATGAGTTTTGTGTTGCCATAATTTCTTTTTTTTTAAAGATATATTTTCACCTTTCATGTGTATGAGTGTTTTCCCTGTATGTTTGTATGTGCACTACACATGTGCCTGGTGCCTGTGAAGGACAGAAAGGGGAATTAGAGCCCCAAGAACTGGAGTTATGGAAGGGTATAAGCTGCCATGTGCATGCTGGGAACTTAACCTGGGTCCTCAATAAGAGAAGCAAGTGTTCTCAACCACTGGACCGTCAGTTCGGCCCCCAATCATACATATTTAAGTTTTATATATTGGCATCTGTCCCAAGAAGAGACTCTACTTCATTTCCCTTTATCTGTGGCATCTGTATCACGGAGAGGCCCTACATTTCTCCTTCACAAATCTTGGTAAACATTTTGTGGCAATTATGTGTCCATTATCTTAAAAGCAACCAGTTGTCAGTAAATAGAAGGCCACTTCTCAGATCCAGTAAGATGCAATTGGTGATGCTACGGACTTTCTACGAGTACAGAGCTCATGGATGATAAGGGGAGTTTACACCTTCACAGGGTTGAAAATTTAGTGTTATCAAGAGCATATTGAAGTCAGCCGCAGTGGGGGACACTTGCAATTTCAGCAGTCAAGAGGCTGAGGCAGTTTGGACTCCATCGTGAACTTCAGGCCAGTCTGGGCTTCATAGTAAGATTGTGTCTCAACAAAACAACACATTAAAAAATTACAATGGTAATTTTCATTAAATAAATTGAATTGACATATTTACATATACTGTAGGAGAGGTTCTTTCATCTTTAGTTTCCCAGTGAAAAACCCAAGCCACCAAGAAGGATGGCTGCTTCAGTTTCCTGGTGGACCAGCCATGGAACAGCTGCTGAGCCTTACCGCTCCCTGCAAAGCTGAACAGGTAGGCTACCCTTGTGTGCCCAGCAACATCACCATTGTGAGTGAAAGCTTGGTGAAAATCGGGAAATTTCAATTCCCATAAGCGTTATTGAAGACTGATGACTCTTTGAGAATTTTCATAGTTTTGATGCTTAGAGAAAAGGGACACAGAAAATTTGGTAAATACTCAAATGAGCTCCAATATCCTGCACATCCAATGAGGTATCCAGGCTTTTTTTTTTTTAATTATTATTATGGTCCCCTAGAAGAGATATGTCCCATGGCTCATGTTTCACTGGGCACCAGCAAGCCAGCCAGCAAATATTTACTAAGTACAGTGAGGAAAACCTAGGCAAGATCTCTTATCTCAAATTACTTCTAGTCAAGAGAAGTCAGGAAGGGAAGATAAAAATCATTAAGTAAGGCAACCATGAAGTAAAAGTATGCTATAAAGAAAATAAACCTGGTCAATGAGATAAAGAACAAATAGAGAGAGAACAGAGAGTTCCAGGAGGTTCTCGCTGAGAGATGCCTTATGGACTGACAATTGAAGGGAGAAAGAACCAGCCCTGTGATGATCTTGGCAGACTCTTCTGGACATTCATGGAAGCAAGTCCAAAACTTCTGGTGTAAGAATGAACTTGGCATGTAACATTAAAAGGCCATTGTGGCTGCACAAGACTAAGTGAGGGGAGAGAGGGAGGAAGGAAAGAGAGGTGCATGTGTGAGGGTCTTATGAGGATTTTAGTCTGTCAGCGAAATAAAGAATAAAGTTTGGTAGAGGAGTATTCTGCATTCTGTTTTGAGAGTAGTAACATGCTGAGATTTTATAGGTGGATCAAAGGTAGTGGATCAACATTTATCATGGAGGAGGCTGCTGAAACAGTTCAGGAGGAAGAGAGAAGGGGCTTTGTGTGACATGCAGCTGTGCTGAGACTCTGTTGGAGTTTGGAGGCATTGCAATTTCTTGA